AGATTTATGAAGCCTTTCAGCATCAAGTCATCTGTTAGAGAGCACAAAAAACTGGCTTTTCTCTTTCTTTGTCTCAACCTCTTTCTTGTATCCATCGCTTCATCTGTTCCTGTCGTGGACTGTATGCAACATTTTTTTTCTGATGACAGGAAAATACCAATAGATCATCATGTGGATATGACAAATTACTGTATTTTCCTTTAGATACCAGCACTGGAGTTTGTAATGGATTCCCCACATCACCCAACATGGTTTTTAAATTATTGAAAAAGAAAAAGTGTAGCTTAAAGTGCACCAAGCCAAGCCCAGTATTTATTTACACTTAATGGGGTCATTAAAGTTTAAATAAATAAATCATATTTAGAAGAATTTAAACCTATGCATAATATATTTTTTTCCTGAATGGATTGTGTTTGACAGATCTCCCGTCATCATGTTTCTCCCGGCTTCAACAGCGAATTCTCTCTTTTGGACGGCCCAAATTACGGAACATCACAAAAGTTATTAAAAGCAAGTCAGAAAACAGATTTTAGGGGTGAAATCGCACCTTTTCATAACCAGACTTGTAAATATTTATAGGCTTTAATGATAAAGACATATTCCTTTGCTGTGGACCTTGATGTATTTTAGGGTGTATCTCACCATGTTATTAATGGAGCAGCCATCTTAATTATTAATAGCAGCATTATTAACAGCTATGCTGAGTTTCCGATTCTGATTTTAAACATTTATAGAATTATTATTGGTGTGACAGACCAAGAGCCAAAGATTGATCTCCCTGTGCGCGCGTGTGTGTGTAGGTGTGTGTGTGTGTGTGTGTGTAGTGTGTGTGTGTGTGTGTGTGTGTAGGTGTGTGTGAGAGAGAGAGAATCTCTTGCTGGACTGTAGCTCAGGCCTACACTTTTATTTTGAAACATGTACGCTTTATACATGAGTTATTATTTGGCCATACCCAAATGATCCAAAATGATTGCCACACTCATTATAGTTATTCCTGACGTGACATAATTAAAGAAAGAAATCATTTCAGTTGCAATCATGTTTTAGGTACAGAGTCATCCTGATTATCACGCACAAGCACAGAACAATGCTATGCTATGAGGCTATTACCACATGAACCAATCCTATTGGTTTAACGACCACAAGGTAGTTAAAAAGTGAAGTCATACAAGTCTGCTTTTTTTATGGCTTTCTTGTTTCTCTGAAGCTAATCAATAGCTTCCCCAGTCTGTGGTCATGGAAATATTTGCATGAATGTGTGTGTCTGTTTGTGTGAGTGTTGTGTAATGTCTTTATTTATCATATTCATTTGTTTTTGAGCCCCCCCTCCTTTTATGTGGAGTTATAAATCGTTTCAAAGTACCCTTTGTGTGTGCATGTGTGAGTGTGTGTGGACAGAGTTAGGACTGTTGTGTACATTTTAACACCCTATTCTCCCAGGCTCTCTGTCTCGAAAGCAGAGCAGAGGGTGAGGTGGTGTGTAGGTGTGTGTGTGTGTGTGTGTGTGTGTGTGTGTGTGTTCCATCTGGAGCTCCTTTTGACACAAATCATTTCTACTGCAATGCATAAACATGAAATAGCACCGCAAAAAAACAAAAACAACCCCGCAGAATAAAGCAGAGCAGGACACAGAACAATATAGGAATAGAATACATTTCACTATTGTCTAATGTTTCACAGCTTTTGGAAAAGTGCAAATGTTTTGCCGAAGATGTTTCAATATCTGTTTGAATCCTCTAATGTCTTTCCACTGACTTTTAATGTTGAAGTACACCGTGTTGTGTTTGAACAAACCTTAAGCCTTTGTTTCATTTCTCACGTTTAACCCTCTCTCTAATTTCGAATTTGTCCAAAATTTGGAGTGGCCATAATAAAAGAGAGAGCGTACCGCTTGTGCAACAGAAACCACGTAAAAACACTGACAACAAGAGTGTTGAGAGGCACCCAGTTTAATGAGGATTACCACTTTGCCTTGGTTTGAGTTGTTATGGGTAGCTCTTGATGCAAAATATGTTGTTGAGAAATCTATGTTAAAGGAGGGCAGGGAGAGGATTTACCTGTAATTTGTGAGATTTTGGACACTATGAGGTTCCACAAGCACATGCAATCAGAAATGGGTGGTCTGAGGGTGACGACAAGAGGAAAGGGAAGCTCAGGGATGTAAATTGCCACGGGGTATTTATTTCGGTCTATTTGATACCCCTGTGATGAGCTGCCAGCTTACCTAAGGTATTTCTCTGCCTTCTACATTCTGGGATACTATAGTCCCAGGGATGATAAATAAGGTGGTAATGAATGTGATTAAAAAAAGGAAGTTGGGATTTAGTTGATGAAATCAGCAAAATGTAATGTCAGTTCAATAAAACTAATAAAGATAATTGCAAAAACTTAACTGCCAATTTGACTTAAACAGAATAGAAAAACAGGGTGATAAGACAATAAAGACAAAAACAATGTTTTGCTAATTAAGTTAGCATCTGTTTTCACTTTGCTTCAGTAGGTCTCTCACTTTCCTAGACTAGAATATGGATCACAAATACACTTGTGTTTCATTAAAATGGTATAATAATAACATTATAACAAGTCATTTTCTGTGGTCATTATAATTCTAATAAAAAAAGTCAAACAAAAATTGGAAAAGAGAATCGAAATATGGTGTAATTCTGTTTTACTGCACTGCACCATCATCGCTGTTGAATGTCTCAGTCTCTAGATAAAAGGACATTTGTGTTTTTTTTCTGATCTTTGTTGGATGTGTTTGCAGGAACTGACTCACTCAAAAGTCGGTCAGAGAGAAACTCTGCTGATGACACGTACACAAACACACACAAGCAGTGCTGAATCAAGGAAAAGAATGGCTTTACAAAGACAACTTTTACCTTTAAGAAAATGTTAAGTGCATATACTTTCAGGTGCACATACATATATTTGTTGTTTTTTTGTTCGTCTGTGTGTAGTGTACGTACTTGAGCTTAGCGTACATGTGCGGCACGGTGGTCCAGTGGGTAGCACTGAGGCCTCACAGCAAGAAGGTTGCGGGTTCAAACCCTGTTTGTATGAGTTTGCATGTTCTCCCCGTGTTTCTCCCCACTTGCTCCGGTTTCCCCCACCACCAAAAACATGTTAGGTTTTCCAGTCAGTGCCATTGACCAGACACTGATAAAAATCTGGAGTTGGTCCCCGGGCGCTGCACAGCGGCTGCCCACTTCTGCCTTGAGGGGATGGGTTAAATGCAGCGTAGAACTGAGAGCTCTGTTAGGGATAGAGGGATGGATTATTTACCTCACTCCAAGGCAGGGTTATCCCTGATTTCACAGGGGTTTTCTCCAAACTGTTGAAAAACAGTTATGCTAGCCCAAGTCTCGAGTTAGTTTATGTTGACTTGCAAATGTTAAAACAAATTTTTCTCTGGGGATTTCTAAAATAAATTCCCAAAAATCTAGAACAAACTAATAGTCATATCACATTATGGGTCACATTGCAATGCAACTAGGGAGATTCATCGACGTAGTCGATTACCTAAATATGTCGCCTCGCGTCGAAGCATCCTTGCATCCGGTGTTAGTGGGATTCCCCCGGACAAGCTCCAGCTACAAGTCCTCGCCTTCGACTGTCTAAAGTTTGGGAGTATTATAGACAGGCACTCAAAAACGTGGTGCTCGCTCCGCGAGCTTCACCGCAGCACAGCTCGACGAATACGTGAAGCAGCATGAACACGTGAAGCGAAAGTATCCCAGTGCACTTTGTCTGGACAGCATCATCTAACGTTCGGCCGTTTTATATTTTCTGTTTATTTAACGGCTACGAATGAGTGAGAAAACAGCTGAAAGTAACATTACAGACAATCTGTGACTGTTTGCACAGTCTGTGAATCGTTTCAGTTGTTTTCTTTTCCCCACACTGATGCAGAAATACATTTGATTATCATACTGCATTACGCAATTTTTAAATAAATCCATGTCAGAAACATCTACTACTCGAAAAAATAATCGTTAGATTAATCGATTAGAAAAATAATCGTTATGTACAGCCGTAGATGCAACACTTTTGTATGACCTCTCAGAAGGCATCGTTTGGTTCACAGACTGCCTTGGAGAAAAAAGTAAATGCGTTGCTGTTTTTCTGACTTTTCTCGCCTGATGATGCATCGATGGGGTTTTTCCTCTTCCATCAACTTAGTTCATGAAATTCCACACTGCAGTTCCATCGGTGCATATGGGTACATATGTGTATGATATGACTTTCCATATTTCCATTATGTGTGGGTTTGTGGATATGTGTATATGACTCACAAGGGTGCCTAGGGTTCAGTGTTGATATGCTGTATATTTCCTCTGTTGACAGAGAGAGAATATTCATATGATTGATGTTGCTGTTCTCTTGCCTCTTGCAAGAGAAAAAGAAAAAATGGAAAAAACAGATTTAGTTGTAGGCAGTCAGAATGGTCAAGAGATTGATCTGTGTGTGTGTGTGTGTAGTGCATGTTCGCATGTACACAGGTGGATCTGTGTACTCTTTATCTCTGCCGTCAAATTTCTGCAGGCTGACGTCAGGAAAATTACTGTTAAAACAGATGGCTTTTATTGGCTGGCTCATCATCAGGACAGCTGGTTGGTGGGGGATGTCAGTGTTTTATTTTATACTGGTGTGATTGTTTTGTGAGCATAATTTCTCACGCGTAAAAAAAATCAAACGTAAAGCAACCTACAAATCGTCTTTATTGCCTAAATCGTTAGTGAACATGCTGAATCCCAACATGACACTGACTTACTCAGTGCTGGGGTCCAATAGCGTACCTGTAGGGTCTGAAACCTCATATTCGCCATAGATGTGTGAAAGCTTAATTAACCCAGTTGCATTTTTATTTTTCAAAACCATCCAAATGCTTATTTCTTAAATCAATTTTGTTTTCTTCTTTTGTCCCTCCGTGTGTATGTGTGTGCTCATTTGAATCTGTGTGCCTGCCTTCCTGTGTATGTGTGTGTGCGTGTGCATGGCAGCGTGGACAGAATCCAGCAGCTAAGAAGAGAATACCAGCAGGCAAGGAGAGAGGGAATGGTACCGCCTTATGAAGAACTGGACCTACGACGCAGAGTACAAGAAAACGACGCACACAGGGTGAGAAGCTCAGACACATTATATACACTTACGACCCCGGATCTCAGGCCGCAACAAAGAAGGAAGATGCAACTCAGAACATAATTTTATTATAACAACACAAACAAACAAACACAGTGCACAGGGGCCGTCACATACACATGGGAAAGTCCACAGACAAGCCGGCCAGATAAATAGCTTCATAATCTTGTAATCGGATGCACGTTCTGTCCTTACGTTTCTACAACCTTTCATCAGTCTGTCCATCATCAGGTTGTCTTTCCATGAGATAACCATGTCATCACTGTGTGCTTGTGTACGCACCAGCATCTCTGCACAGTGTCGATGTGTGTACCAAGTAAGGTTTCTTATCCCCTATCAACTATCAGAGTAATCACTGCTTTCATTGCGTTTGTCTAGTTGATCAAGGTCATTTAGCTGTCAGTCACAAGGTGCTCTTTGACACGAATGGCTCCTGAAGGCGTTGAACTGATGGAACTGATATGGTCCGCTGTTCACTCGGGAGATGAGACACACAGGAGATAAGTAGAGGTTTTACTCACTTGTCATATTGCAGGTACTGTTGAGACCGGCTGAGTCATGCTGGAAAAAGCTCACAAATGCGTCTGTGCTGTCGTAATAGCGGGGAAATTATTAATGTGTTAGAGAATAACTCTCATCCCACAGGCGTCACTCTGCAGTGACTTTATTTGCTGCCTTTGCAAAGCAAATATTAGTAGTAATATTAGAAATATCTTTCTGGGTATCAGATTTTATTTTTTATTAATTCTGACAGTGTCATTATTCTGCCACATCTCTTTGCCAATCAGACGCAGACAGTAGACATTATTTCTTTTTCCTTGCTGCTGCCCATGTTTTCTTTTGCTTCAGCTGTTCATGCTGTGTATCAAAGCTAATGTGGATAGTATGTGTCCTTTAAGTCTCAAGTCATTATTTTATGGGTAACATTGTTAAGAGGGGAAGAGGATAGCAAAACCTGTTAACAGCTTAGCATCAGGCTAGTGATTTATTCCAGACTTTTTTAATGCTCCGCCAAACCATTTGTACCACTGCTGACACTGTTTACAACCGTTCTATTTATCAGTTTATCATTTAAACATAGGTAAATGAGCCCTCTGAAACTGAGAGTTGACATCATGGAAAATGTAGAATATTTATTAGTTATTGTCAGTTAATATTAAAACTGTATAGACATACAAAGTAATACAGGCGACTTCAGGCTCCTTATTTGGACAAAGAACAACCTTTGTATTGTTTTTGCCTTTCAGAAACCATCCAGTTAACAAAAACAAATCTTAATCAGAACTCTGGCAGGGGCGCAGTAATGGTATCAGTGAGTACTGTTTGTCTCTTCAGCACACACTTGGTGCCTGGTCTCTTTAAGTCTCACTTTATTTATATTTTATATCACTTCTGTGTACCATACTGTTAGCGATCATGGTGATATATAACAAATATCTGTAACTAAGTTTAATTATTCAAAAGTAGCCACCTTTCACTTTTGTAGCAAACACAACATACTAAACTCTGTTGTATAGCTGATCAGTCGATTTTGATAATTTATTTACCAGTTAAGTCAAATCTAGCTTCTCAATTGTAACCAATTTTATTTATTTTTTTGCTTTTCTATAGTAATTGTTTGCTAGACAAAAGTAGCAATTTAAATATTCAGGTATATTATTATATTAAGATTTTGGTGGGCAATTTCGACTATTTTCTAACATTTCATCAAGAAAACAATTAATTGATAATGAAAATAAACCTTATAATATGTTTCACCCCTACTCATTAGTTGTTTATTTTATTATTATTATTATTATTTTGGGTCCTGGGGTGCACTGAAGTGGTGTGAGTGTGAGTTTTATGTAACAAAACACTGAATGATTCAGAAATGTCGTGCCTCTGTCATTGTATCCGCACAGTGTGTTTAGAAGTTTTACCTGGCTCACTTTGATTCAGATCTTAAAGTCATTAGGTTTGTGACCAGCCAGGGGCAATCTCCTTTCCCCGGCGATCGATAGCCACACATTACACCGTTCTCTGCCTCCAAATGAGAAAACTTTGTTGTTGTTTATAAAGCAGGGAGGGAGAGCAATTAGCATGCTTCAGAGATGGAAATTAAGTTGGAAAGTTAGAAAGGAGAAAAAAAAAAAGGAAAAGAGAAAAAATATCAAAAGATTAAACAGGCCAGTTGCAGTTGCCACTGTGCCTAACAAGCCCCTATCATTAGGGATGATGCATTTATTAATTAAAGCAGAAGCGATTATTTAACTGACTGGCTTTCTGGGGGAAGGGTAGAGGGAAAAGTAATGGTTATGGAGGTGAGCCGACGGCAAACTAATTCAATTTCACTTTTATTGGTTTGTTTGTCTCTCCTTAAGACGTTTTTGTTTTTTCTATAGGATTTGCTGAATGACTATGAAAAGTAAAAGCAATGGAAACTTAAGTGTAGAGGAGAGAGTGAGACAAAAAAAAGGGAAAGGGGGAGAGAGAGAGAGAGTGTGCGTCGCTCGTGCAATGTTGCCACAGTATACTGAGTGTGTTTTGTTCCCCTATGGCTCCATTACCATCTCATTGATTCATGGTTATGGGTTAGCTGTCTCTACTAGCAAAATTATGTTTGCTAAAAACAATTATCAAGCAACAAAAGCCACACCACAACTTTGTTTCCAAGTGAGTGCATTGTGTGCTTGTGGGCGGGTGTGTGTATTTTGGAAGACAACAACAGACTTTGTCCCTGAGGAGAGGGGAACTAAATCAACAGGGCGCTGTTGCTGTTGTCACATACACACACATTCACACGCAGAGGGTATGGAAGCCAATTGTTACAGTGGGCGGTGTGACACAGCCTTTATTATAGGATTTAATTATAATGAAAAGCTTTCATCTAGTTTCTCCTGTACTTTGTGCTTAAATTTGTGTGTTCAATTCCAGTTAGTCATTTAATTACTAATGGCATTTTGAAGTGTGATGCAAAATGAAATTGCATGGGTGCCTCAGATTTAAAACACAGTTTACATCATCTCCAAACTTGTATTTACCAGGAGAAGGGGTTTGTGGTCCGACTTTTCACACCTTTTTTTGACATAAGAATATGGTCTAGGGCAGAGGTCACTAATAGGCGGACCGCGGTCCGGATCCGGACCCAGCCGCCGTCCTCTCCGGACCGCCGACCTACAGCACATTTATTATTGAGACTTACTACCTCGTGACGGAGCGTTTCTATTTTAACCCGCGCAGCTTTTCTAGCATTTACTGTACTGGTTTAGAGGACCAGGAGACTCACAGACCAATCGCATGTGCTCCAATCGTCTCATGTGACGCTGCTCAGCCAATCAAATCTGTGCATAATCAAGTCCGCGAGATTCACCAGAGACGTTTTGGAAACACACCCGAATTGAGGAGACGAAAGATAAAAGATATTTCACATGACTTTTAATCAAGAATGTACAGACACTTCATCACTTCAAGCTACACTTTTTATTACATTTTTTCTAAAAATTAGGCACTTTAGTTTACTTAAATTTAGAATTTATTATTTGAATAGTTATTATTTATTATCCCTCCAGTTTGATGTGAAAACTGACTGAAATATTATTTGATTTGACAGTCCGTTGTTGACTAAAAACATGTGTTGATACAACTATAGGTTATAGTACTGAATGATAACGCAAGTTCGTCGTTTTGATGTTCCGGACCTTTGCTTCAGGAAATTTTCTCTAACTAGACCTCTTTGAAATCTAATTGAATACCCCTGGTCTAGGGTAAATGTGTATTTTTAAAAAAAATCTAAAATGGAAAAACAACCTTTCCCAGCCACTGACTTTCCCCATCCTTACAAGTTAATACTGTTATAATAACACAGCTATAAACTAACAGTAAAATGTGCCTTGCTTGTCTAACTGTACCTTGTTGCCATCATTAAATAAGATTTCTGCTCCATAGATCAGCTACACTCATTCATTTGTACAGTGCCAATTAAACAGTCACACACTGTTGTGACTCTGCTTTAAAAAGAGTTTGGAGTCTATGGCTTGAAAAGTATTAGATACCGATTCAGACTACTCATCTCTGTTCTATCTGTGTCTTTTTTTTGTCCATTTTTTGAATTAGTCCCTCTCGAAGTGGATCTGACAATATAAAATGACATTTAGCTGCTTAAGCCCCAGTCAAAACCACCCTCAGAAGTATTGGCAAACACAAACAAATGTGTCAGCTTGTTTGGCAGGTGAAAGTATTTTCTTACAGTTCAAAACAATAGGAGTCAAAGTTTGGACAAGACTGTGATTTATCTGTTTATCTGTCACTATAAATTGCACTCTTATCTTTGTCTTCCTGTCCATGCCCTCTTTCTAATTCCTGTTATTTAAAAAAATAATGCTCAGTTTTGAAAAGTAATGCTGAGTGGTGGTGGTGTCAGCAGACCATGACACTTATGTTTATTCTTATTCTTGTTTTTGTCAAGGGGAGATGGTGGACAACTAAATTTTTGATAAATGTTGCTTTTTTCAGAAACTTTTAAACTAACCTAAAGGATGAATTTATAATGTTTTAGGGCTGATATCACCTTGCCTTATACATGTTTTTAGCCAGCATAAGAAGTTATTTCCCATGTGTGCTTTAACTGCTTTTTTAAAAATCTGTGTAAAATGCCATCTCACAAAGATAAGAGCACAGAATGAGAAGTTGAGAAGTTAGTACATTTGCAATTCAGTCTCACTTTGCAGTTCAATTATGGCACTTTTCCATTACCAGTAACAGCTCAACTCGCCTGGACTCAACCCTACTTGACTCGGTTTGGCCGTGCTCCGTTTTCCATTGTAGATGGCACCCAGAGATAGTGCCCCTTAATGTAGCTGGTCGTCATAGCGACGCCACACACAACTGCCACGACGTAATGTACAACTCGACGGAGGTGATATGAAAAAAAGTACCTGTTAGCAGGTACAGGTACAACTTTTCCACAATGGAAAAACAAACAAAGTCGAGGCGAGTCGAGC